TTACAGTTTTTTTTAAACTATCTACCAATTCCTACTTATTTCATAATTTTAATTAAAAATTTTTATCATTTGTAACTTGTTAGGGGACCAAAACTTAAAATATTACCTAAAATAAATATAGTAAAAAAAATGCCGCCCTCTAAAACAGCCGCCCCTAGGCCCGTGCTTAGTGTGCCTATATGTAAATCCGCACTGACCATACCATTGTGAACTGAACTCAATTGAAATGGCATGGGCAAAAATAAAAATGAAGTCTCTCTATTAATTTTGTGACTACCTATAGTAGTAATATTTTCAGTGTTAATCAGGCTGTTATATTTGTACTCGTAGTTAAAATCGTGGACACTTACACGTTACGGCAACGAAAAGAAGGTCATTTGTTTTCCAAACGACCGTAAAGGGTGCTTATCCAAAAGGGTTCAAAATCTGTTGTTTCGCTTTAGGGCATGTTACAAGCGGCCGATTTAACGAATCCATTTTGGGACCAACGTGAACCATTAAATTGTTTTCTTTTTAATTTCTTCGTGAAAAAGAGTTGGGGTAAATCCGATAAATAAAAAAGTTACCCAAGAACTGGAAACTAAATTCGGAAATTCACAGTTTTGCAAGGAATTAAGTCCTGTAGAAGAACGTGGTAATTTTTCAGATTTTTTCTATCTTCTACAGTTTTAGTCCGATTGTTTTATCGGTATCGTCGGAATTCTCGGGAGTTCAAGGGGACCATCGATTAATAAACTCAAAATAACCGCATTGAGACATTTGGTTTCCGTTAACTAAAAACAATGCTCCAATCTGGGCGCAAACTCACGAAAATCATATTATACAGAATACCGACAGGTGGGAATTGGTAAAACTATAAGGCATGCTATCTTTTCAAAGCATTACAACAACGATACCTGTGTTCAAAAAAATATTCATTTTTTTTCTGAGTAGTAAATCGGTTATGGGTGTGATTAATCTCTTTTGTTGATGGATATGGCAAAATATATAATAGCCCATTCCGAATTTGTTTGATCTTTTTTACGCGTGGTGTTTTGACCTTTTGGCAGTGGGTGCGGTTTTACGAACGCCACACTTGTAAAATTTTAATCATCTCTTCCTTTTGAGATAGAATCGCTTCCGTACATTTTTGTACGATCGCCAGATTTCGAAACGTCTGATCAGATAAGATTCTCGACATTTTTAATTTGGTCGAAATTATGCCATCTCTCGGGATGAGTCAGTAAATCGCCCCATCTCTCCCTTCAAACGCGATCGTAATGGCGCCAATATTCTGAAATTTCATCTGGATTAGTAATAGTGCAGTAAATATACATAATAAATTTCTCTAGCGTTTGATGTCCACCAACGTGTTTAATCCCGAGGTGACTATTATAGAATTTACTCACTCGGAAAACGGCGACGGCTCGTAATAACCAATTTGGATACGCCACCATTTTGTCTCGGGCATTGTTGTTGGGTCTAAGTCACATTGCATACCACAGCAAAGCCAAAAAACCTTGTCAATACAAAACAAAAGGTGTATTTTACGTTTGGGAATGACATCTAAAATGGTTCCAAGTACGAGCAAAATATCTTTTAGTAAATGCAAATATTTAGGTAATTTTATTGCAATCGTTTGAACCCACGCAATTGGAAAGACAGATAATGATCTTTTTTCCTTTCAATCTACCGTATAATCCTCGTCTATTTACACTTCATATATTTGGCGTTACCCGGAAAGGTGTAAAAATATTTTAAGACACGCACCAGAAACTACAAACAATAAACCTGTATAAAGCAAAAGGGCATTGACAGGAATTGGATCTATTCTCTACTGACGTCAACAGCGTATGATGTGCAAATATAAGTAGAATAAATTTAGAAATGACGTTTCGACGCCGGTTAGATATACTTAGCCCATACATTTAGGTTTAGCTTCCATGGTAAATCGGTTTATAATGTATTACCTAGTAGTTACTACATCACTATAATGATTACTGAAGTTCTGCCAGAAGCGAAAATACAGTTGCGAAAAACTGAGGCGCAAACTATTGCCATAAATTGAAAATAAAATGGAAGACTAAACATCGCGAACTCAAACAAATAGATCTAGACATGGATAAACGAGGGTGACGATTAACATTTTGGAATAAGCTTCTTATTATGTAATTTGTGATGCACATTGTTATTGTGTATAAAATTCTGCTACGCCTTGCCTTATGTACATAGCATTTTATAAAATGTTTATCTATTGCATCAATGTCGATTCTATTTTGGCTTGACTTGATAAATGGCAGAGTTACTTTGGGTGTAACAATTCGCGTCACATAATTACGTTTGAAACATTCCTATTAGTCCAGTCAAATAAGAAAAAATAAAAACATTAATCGGTAAAGATCTGAATTTTGGTACACATGTTCATTAGTGTTCCCTATTGGACATACTAAAAGTCCCCGTCAAAATCTGTTGCGCTCGAGGCGCCATCCTGGAAAAAAGGAGCACTTCTTCAGTTTCTTGCCTATATATCGGCAATATTATTGATACGGAAAAATAGTTCAGATAAAAAATATAGTTTATTAAATTGCCCATAAAAAAGCATATTAACATTTTTTTGTATGTCCAATACTTTAGCTATAATCCGACATCGAATAGGGAATCAAGTATCCTGAGCTCTCGAAACAGTCACGCAGATATTTTTTTACAACTTATTACAAATCATTAAATTCATTGAAAATTCTACCAGTATTTCTTATATATGGGAAGTCGTCGCACTCAAGCTTGGTATGAGACACGTTTAAAGGTTTCTCATAAAACTCTCTCTCAACTCAATAGAACTTTCATCTTCAATGTGAGCACTGAGTGTGGACTGGGAGCCTTCAGTGCAGTCCGAACAGGGTCAAGGTAATTCTGAAGGTCTGATAACGATGTCGGTTTTAATATCTCTCACTAGCAGGCACCTTATACTTATGCAGATAAGGGCATTCTTCAGCTTCAGAAATCATTTCGTTGCTCCAACACTTTTACACATTTTCGCTTACCTTTTTGAAAAAAACATGATGTATCATCAAACATTATGTCATTGCTAGAATGCTTTATCGCACGACGATTCTGTTCATTTTTTGGCTTTGTTACAACTTACAGCTATCGGTGTAGTCATAAAAAAGACGGCCTCCTTCTATAACTACGATACTGGGCCTAAACGCGTTCTGACGTATTCAACGTTGAGATTACAGGTAAAGTACTGGAGATATAAAAAAAATGTAAATACTCTTTTTTATAGGGAATTTAGTAAACTATATTTTTCATGTAAACTATTTCTTCGTGTCAGTAATACTTGCCGAGATATGGGCAAAAAACTGGAAAAGTGTACCGTTTTTCCAAGATGGCGTCTCGAGCGCAACAGATTTTGACAGGGACTTTTAGTATGTTCATTAGAAAGTCCCAACAAATGTGTATACCAAAATTCAGATCTTTACGAATTAATGTTTTTATTTGTCCAAAATTGTGCTAATTTGACTGGACTATATAGAATTGACACTTTTTAATGGGGTGGATTCGGTGCTCCTTTGTGTTCCAAATTGGAGACCAGAGTGGATGTACTACATCGATTATTATTTGAATCATTCCTAATTCAATTTAGATTATTTGCACAGAATAATTAAAGATCAAACAAACTTACCTGTGAAGTTCGATGGTAACCATGTGAGACATCAGTCCGACTATACCTATAACTGTATACAGGGTGGTGACTTGCGTAACGCATCATAGGGATTTCAATGTAAAATTCATAACATGCGATTATTGGCTCCCCAAATTATTTTAGAGCAAAAATGTATTAAGGTTTTTTCTAGAAACAAATTTTTTACGTCAATAAACCGTATTAGTTTTAAATTTTTTGCATAATAAAGACGGAAAATTGGAAAAATAAAACCCCCATCTTTTCAATAATCTGTGATGCCATGGAATTTTATAATAGAAAAGCTACGCCAATATCCGTCATGCCATGGAATGTCTGCTATAAAACAAATCAAATTCTATCAAAAAGTATTATATTAATTTAGAACAGCGAATTCAACATAAAGAAAAACCAAATTACTAAAAACGGTTTCCTAATACAACAATTTACAATAAATGTTCGAATAAGTCCCCATTAAATGCAAGACAGTAACCAAGGCGATCATAAAATCCATTTCGAACGGCTGCTAATTGATAATTGGATATCTTTTTGTTTTAGAAAATTCCATGGCATCACAGATTATTGATAAGATGGGGGTTTTATTTTTCCAATTTTCTTTATTATGCAAAAAATTGAAAACTAATACGGTTTATTGACGTAAAAAATTTGTTTCTACAAAAAACCTTAATACATTTTTGCTCTAAAATAATTTGGGGAGCCAATAATCGCATGTTATGAATTTTACATTGATATTCCTATGATGCGTTGCGCAAGTCACCACCCTGTATATGTTAGTTGTTTAGTTTAAAGCCGCAAAACCAAGAACAAAATAGATATATGACTCCACGAGTTGAGTATGCAGAGAATATGGAAACATCCCCTCCAGTCTTTTTGACCGTGCGGTTTTTTATGAGTAAAGAACAGACTTTCATCACCGGAAGAGCGAAGGGGTGCTGTCAGGCTCAAGTAATGTCTCACTAGCGTCGTCTCTTTCGCCGTCCACCAACCGTTTCCTTGTTTTCCCTTAAATATGGCACCCCAGACAGCCTGATATACTAGCATCCGTGTAAATTGTCTCGTTAAAATGATCCTTTTTATATGGGTTCGTGGAAGTAAAGATTTGGTTCTCCCACCAAGTTCTTGAATATGGTAAGAGCCTTTAGCGGCATAGTTACCGGAATATTGAGCGAGGGCGCGATATTTGGCTCGCCTCAAGGATTTTGTATATAACCATCGCCAATACAGTGTCCGAAATCTATAACAACCAACCTAGTGCGTGGTCATTACAAATCCAGCACCATATGAATGACGTACGAACGAAAAGAAGATTTTTATGTGTATTTACAACCAGTTTTTATACAAATGGATATTTTTTAAATATGTTACATTTGCCTTTTTTGAGTAGCTTGATGGTTAGCTAGTAAGACATCGTATCCAACTTTTCCGTGCGTGACCTCATACGTCGTGATCGGATAGTACATTCTGGATGGACGAATGTAACCGTATACTGAAAGAAAAAAGGGGTTGAGTATGCAAATGCATCAACCACACATCATCGTTTGAAGTACCTACAGTTTACTCATCTCGAAATAAGTGCGCGAATTTCAAACCTTTGATGTCTAAATATTTTTTTACATAACCACATCTGCTTTCCATTAAAAATAGTTCTACTAAAAACTGTGTAAACTCCTTCCAAAATTCACACTCTGCTTACTAAGAGTAAAGTGACCGGCAACATTTTACTCAGAAAGGTTCCAATTAACCTGATTGCCGGTAATTTTGTGTTTAATTCTCTTTGTACAGCCGCCACAATCATTTACAACCGTGTTTATAAATCATTACCCTTATTATATATAATTGAAATGAGAAAATATGACGCTACATTAGATTTATTCCCGTAATTTATTCTCTCAACGAGTGATATAGTGGCGAATTAATTTCGAGTAAATTTTAATTTCGAACGACGCCATTAAAGTTGGCATCTCATTCACTTTTGGTCGGTTTACTTTTTCTGAAATATAAATTTTCACCACATGCCAATATAATAATAATTTTACGATTTCGATATTTTTCGTTAATTGAAAACGAATTCGAGCGATTGTTGCTTGATCAATTGCAGCTGATACTTACTACGCCTTGCACTAGGAAGTGGTGGAGGAATTTGTTGGGTTTTTGGACCGTAAATTTTATTACCATGGATTAAGATCGCATTACCAGTCGGTTTTTGCTCCTCATCCTCTCCCTCTTTGGCGATCACTGCAAACAGTACGATATAATGCATTTTACATTTTTGTGATCACATACTGTCTCCACAGTAATCCATTTGGTACGTGGTCCATAATCTTCCTCTGTTCATTTTATGTATGGCCGCCAAGGCGGCTTTAAGCCCAACTTCTCCCTAGAATTACTGAATGAGTGCATCAACAAAAGACCAGACGTACCTCATCATCCTCTCCAACTTTCTTATGAACAATCCAGTTACCCCCTTCTGGTAATTCCGAAGCAAACCTGTCCACGGGGCGTAGCCTTAAAGGTGTAAATGTCAATAAACTGTCAAAAGAATTTTTCAAACACTTACGACTTTCGCCTTTCAATTGGGTGTTGTCGGTAATATTTTTGGTAGGTGGTTGTAAATGCTTGAGCCATAACTTGAATTTTTCTTTTAAGCCAAACGAATGGTGTACTACTTCAAATTTTGAAAATGAACGAATAAATCAGGGCATTCTTAAATCAATTTACAAAAATGGGTGTTGCTGGCTAAGGATCTTTATTAAAATCGAACTACAGATTGGTTTCAGCATATCGACGTCGGCTGGATGGCAGCGGTTCTTTATACTGTTGGCGATTCTTCATTATCCCCAGACCGGTTTTACTTATGGCATCCTGATACTCGGTTCTTGCCCCCTCTACACCAAACCAAGTCGCCACCGTTGTGGGAGCTAAAATACGTCATTCAACACAGTTAAAACTGTGTTAAAAACAACACTTACTGGTTCCAAATGTCAGTGGCGGGCACGAGTCAATCGTAGGACGTGGAAAGGGCGAATATCTGAATCTCGTTGGGTCGCGATAACCTTTTCCGACACCAATCGTGGGATTTTTTACTGGAACTCCCGCGGGTGAGTCCACCGCAGGCATCAGTTTTACGTATTCTGCTGGTGTCATGCCTGAAAGATATTTTTTTTTAGTTTCCAAAACCTGGTTATATACTAGCTGAAGAATAAGAGCAACAACCAGGAAAGTTCATCCCTAACCCAACCCAAGTGGTGGGATCCGGGTAATGTCACGACAAGTGATAGCGAAGAAAATCTGAAAATGGGCGGAAAACTAGTCCATATGCGCTTGGGAGGTGAAACCCTTAATTTAAAACCTGCAAACGCGGAGGCGGTATACGCCCACAAGCAATTTACAAGATTCACTTCAGATAGTAACCAACCCAACGAAAATTTTTCGGAGGTACCTAGGTCACATGGATTGTGGGCGAAGCACCAGAAGGTCTGGAACATCAAACAGGAGACAATTATAGATGCGTGCTGACACAATTTAGGGAATTGGAAGCTTCATGTTTCGACCTAACATCTAAAGTCTCACCTCTGCAGGAAGAAAACAAGGAACTAAAGAAAATATGCAATCAAAATGTAGTCGAATTAAACCATAGCCCACTAAAGAATATACCTAACACTGTCGAAGATGAACCGATTGAATTTTCAAAAACGTAGACCCAGTAAAAATCGGAAAGCACAATCTTTTCTAGAGGCATGACCAATACGGTTAAAAATCAAGGGGCGTCTGTGAAGGCAAATCATCACTTGATAACGACGTCGGGATGGGCAAGGTCAACCTAGAGTTGTCAAGAGTCAACAAGAGTTTTTCAGAGTTTTCTGAGGTTAATAGTGTAAGAGTGTGCACTTAAAAATCTTCATTGGTTTTTAAAGCTCTTAACAACCTTTAATGCTGATGTTAAATCCTTAACAACTTTTAAGATGATTTAGGCCATCAATAATATTTAAGGTCCACCATCAGTCATCAAATGTTCTCTCTTCAAGAACTTTCAGTAGTTCCACAGTTCCTTAGTTGCAATTTGAACCTCTAATAAAGGGACATTAAGAATCTTTAAGAGCTTTTAGACATGTTTTAGTGTATTTAACAACCGAATCTGGAAGAGCATTTTAAACGCTGCTTTTAAACGCTTTAGCAGCGTTAGGGATCATTCGTCAAAGGCCTCCTTAAAATTTTTACAGGCTTTTGATAGTCTCAATTAGTGTCCATTGATGATCGTCAATAATCCCAAGGTGTTCCAATGGTCTTACAATAGTATTAGAACTTTTAGTTGGATCATAGTCTTTGTGTGCGCTTTAAGAGTATATTAAGAGACATGCCATGAAAAGCTTTTATGAGCCCTTAACGGTCTTTAAATGCCTTTATGAACGTAGGTTTTAAAAAGGCATTTACGAATCTAAAACTGTAGCCAAGACCCACCTATACTGGCCAGCTGTTCCAAACCGTTCCCTCCATTTATATAACTTGTTGTGAGTTTTTGAGGACTTACGAGATTTAAGAGCGTTAAAAAATATGAACCCTTAAGAGACGAAGTCTTGTAGATATTTACTAATCTTTGAGCACCTTTAAGAGTTTTAAAGGTTTTCACTTTTCAGTCTCCAAGAGCCTGTTAAAACAATTCAATAGGCATTTAGCTTTTACGAATTTTTGGTCTTAAAGCGAACATTGAATAGTTTTTAAGGCTCTTTTGGAGCTTTTATGCGCCCCATCAAAAGTTTTCGAAATGATATAAACATTTCAAGAGGATTTTATTACCTGAGCCTTCTAAGATCTTTTATAGTCAAACCTGTAAGAGTTTCAAAATGTCACCAAGAATCTATGCAGGTCTCCAAGAATCTTTGAGTGTGAATCGATTTGAAACAGTCTTTCTTAGAGCTCATTTTAGAAGAGCCTTTCAAGGTTTTTATGAGTGTCTAAAAATATTTGAAATTCTTTAAGGCTATGTTATCAAATGTCTCCAAGGATTTCTAAGAACCTTTAAAGCCATTCGCGACTTTATTTCGAGGAAGAAAAATTAAAACGAACATGAGTGTCATACACGTTGGATTTATCTCAATGAGGCAAAATCCGGCCACATCGACGTCGGATAATTGAGAAGCTGTCAAATTTATCGGAAGGCCCTTTGATGAAATCTTTACCTGGTACACGCGCCCAAGAAGAAAAAACGGAGCTTGACCTTACGTACAGAAAAATGTACTATGACTACCGGACAGACTTTTTGAAAATATACTGGCCCTATGCCAATAGGTTCTAACACCTATTTGGAGTTATGGTGTCCATCTGCGGAGCTGTACCAAAAAGTTGAACGTGTAGCCAATTAGTCCAGCTCACGCTCCTGTTGA